TAATCTCCAGGACATCTAGATGTATGAGAAAAATGAGCCCCTGTCCACTGTTAGCCGGTTTTTCTGTCCTTGTAGCTTCTAATCAGTTCTAAAACAATGGGAGGTATTCAGGCTTTGGGCATTTCAAAAAATAAGGCAGAGGGCCCGGGGATTGTGGCTCAGTGGTAGAACGCTTGCCTAGCACTTGTGGGGCCCTGGGTTCCATCCTCAGCACCTCATCAAAATAAATAAATAAAATAAAGATATTGTGTCCATCTACAACTAAAAAAAATTAATAATATATAAAAATAATAAGGCAGAACTGGTTTGCACTGAGGCTAGATTCTAGTTATTCTGTTTTTCTCGAGTCAAAGCCAACAGTCCCAATGATTTTGAAACACAATCTAGTATTTGGCTGAGGTCAGGCTTGGACTGGGAGAGTTTGTAAATGGGCTGGGACAATTACATAACAGAGACAGATGGGCCACGGTTCAGAGTCACTACTCATCAATACAGGTATCTGCATGGTCTCTTCAATCTATTTATTATTTGTTCTATCTAGAAAAGTGTTCTGTTGTCAAAGAGAAAATACTTTGACATTAAATCATGACCTACAATATCAGAATAATTGGATACAACATCCATAAAGAGGAAATAACAGAGTGATGTGGAAATTCAGTTTGACAGAACTGTTACTTTGCTACCAAATATAAGGCAATGTCATCTAACTTTTCTGCTGTGAAAAAAATGTTATACAATGATTCCCAGGGCATGATAAAGGTTTAGCCCAGTCAGTTTTCAGGGTACAGATTCATCCATGTTTATTTTTCTGTCTTGGTGACCCTCAAAGTTGACTTGTTTGGATTCAGTACAGTCTAGGTTCCAGGACAGAAAATACATTTCTGGTTGTTGGATTAGAAAAAAGAGAAAGCTTTGAGAAATTAAGAAAATATATTTACAAATGAAATTACTGAAGAACTGATCACCTCAAAATATTTGGCAATCCTTGTTTTGAACTTTGGTTTAGTGAATATTCCACTACCTGTCACTCAACAGTACCTAAAATTCAATAATCTTTTTTGGGGGGATACTCGGAACTGAACTCAGGTGCACGCCACCACTGAGCCACATCCCCAGGCAGGAGGATGGCGAGTTCAAAGCCAGCCTCAGCAACTTAGCAAGGCCCTAAGCAACTCAGTGAGACCCTGTCTCTAAATAAAATACAAAATAGGGCTAGGGATCAGTGATCGAGTGTTCCTGAGTTCAATCCTGGGTACCAAAAAATGAAGCAGTGAATATGTTTACAGACCAAGAAAATTCAGCCTTCTCTGGTAGCAAACCCCTTCACCATTTACAGGCCACGCTGATACAATGCAGCTGGCAGAAATGCTACCCAGCATCTTAGACCAACTTGGGGTAGACAGTCTGACTAGCTTAAGGAGACTGGCTGAAGTTCTGCCCCAAACAATCTGTGGGTGGAAAAACACCCACCCTTTGTTAGTGGAGAGAATAATGATGATGAAATTCTAGATCTTGTAGAGAATTTTGATGCGGCTTCTAAGAATCAGGCAGAGTGAATTGTTCAACTTTTTAAGAAGATAAAACTTGGAGAAATTACTGGAAGCTGTTATTTATATTCTGACCTTTTTTTTTTGTACCAGGAATTGAACCAAGTGAGCCACATCCTCAGCATTTTTAAAATATTTCATTTAGAGATAGGGTCTCGGTAAGTTGCTTCGAGCCAGGCTAAGTTGCTGAGGCTGGTTTTGATCTGTGCTCTTCCTGCTTCAGCCTCCCAAGCTGCTGGGATTACAGGTATGTGCCACCATGCATAGTTTATGACTGTTTATTTTTTAATATATTTTTTTTGTTGTCAATGGACCTTTATTTTATTTATTGATATGTGGTGCTGAGAATTAAACTCAGTGCCTCACGCATGCTAGGCAAGCGCTCTGCCACTGAACCTTAACCCCAGCCCGTATGACTGTTTTTTAAAAAATTGTTTTGTTTGTGGCTCTGATAAAATCTAGGTCGCTAAATTCTTTTTTTTTGTACTAGGAATTGAACCCAGGGGCACTCAACCTCTGATCCACATCCCCGGCCCTTATTTTGAATTTTGAGACAGGGTCTCACTGAGTTGCTTAGGGATTCACTAAGTTGTTGAGGCTGGCTTTGATTTGTGATCCTCCGGCCTTAGCCCCCTGAGCTGCTGGGATTACAGGCATGTGCTACTGTATCCAGTGGTTTCTAATATTTTTAAGCCCAAGCCCTTTGAACACTACAAACTCTTTTCAGTTTTTGCTTATACACAACTTATTCTTTGTAGCTAATTAAGCTGAAGAAGCCTGGGAATGAAGTTGGAAACAAAGGTTAATAAACGCTTAGTTTTTTTATAAAAGTGAATATAAACTCAATAGTTGGTTGAATTCTATTTTTGAGATCAATCATACACAAATTGAAGCCATTGTAGGATAATCATCAAGCAGTGATTAAGGCTGTAATGGACAACATTAATAGAATCATAAAAAAGAAAAAAGCCAGGTGTGGTAGTGCACAACCGTAATCCTAGTGAATCAGGAGGCTGAGGCAGGAGGATCCTGAGTTCAAACCCAGCAATTTAGCAAGGCCCTGTCTCTAATAAAATATAAAAAAGGGCTGGGGATGTGGCTCAGTGGTATCCCTGGTACCAAAAAAAAAAAAGAAAGAAAGAAAGAATAGGACCATAAGCATGGTTAAAGAAGTCAATAATCTAAGACTTAAACTGGTAAAGAGAGAAAAAAATGTCTTGTGCATGGGTGGGTGAAAACTGCCTGCTTTATGCTATCACTTGCTTCTGAAGGATTCAGAACAACCAGTTTGAGGTCTCTGACTGCTTTGGTCTTCCAGTAATTTAGGGGTGACCTATAGCTCTTTGAAAGACCTGAGTGCAAGGATCAATATCCTGGAGTATTATTGTTTTGTTAGTTAGTAGTACCTGGTAATGACCTTCTCATCAAAGTTGGAGGGAAGCCTTTCTGTGATCATTCTCCAGAGGACAAAGTCTCTGAGTTTTAAATTGCAAAGAAGGCTGTTTTAGAGTAGTTTCTTGACCTTAGCACTACTGACGTTTTCAACCAGATAAATCTTTGTTGTAGGGGGGCTGTCCTGTGCACTGTGGGCTGTGGAGCAGCACTCCTGGCTCCTGATGACTCAGTACAGCACCCTGCATCCAGATGTGATAACTAAATGTCCCCTGGGGGGGGGGCAAAAGAGCTGCTTATTGACATCACTATTTTAGAGGATGTCATGAAAATTCTTGTACCTGTTGAACATAAGACCATGAATGATGTGGGCAGTGAAGATTATAAAGTAATACTTGTGTGTGTGTGTGTGTGTGTATTTATCTATCTCATGGTGCTGGAGATTGAACCCAGGGCCTTGTGCATAGTAGGTAATTGCTCTACCACTGAGCTACACCCTCAGCCTTTATTTTTTTTTTTATTTTTAATTTTATTTTGAGACATGGCCTCACTATATTGCCTAGGCTGGCCTCAAACTTGCAATCTTCCTGCCTCAGCCTCCCAAGTATCTGGGGTTAGAGGCATGTACCACTGCACCTGGCTAAGATGTGATAGTGTACAAAGATATTTAGTAGCATTTCTAGAGGAGAATTAGCATCACTAGAGAGAAAAATCACGATTTCCTGAGTAGAAAACAAAGACAAGCAGCTTTTCCATCATTAAGTTGTGGGTTTTTGCTTAGCTTTGCTGATCCTCAGAACAGATACATAATGGGCAAACATATTAATATCCATAGCTGGGGGCAACTAAATATAATTCACTTGGAGTTTTCTTTGGTATGGGATTGAACCCAGGGACACTTAACCACTGAGCAGCATCCCCAGCCATTTTTTATAGTTTATTTAGAGATAGGGTCTTGTTCAGTTGCTTAGGGCCTTGCTAAATTGCTGAGGCTGGCCTCCAACTTGTGATCCGCCTGCCTCAGCCTCCTGATTTGCTGAGATTACACATATGCACCATTGCACCTAGCATATTTGGCAGTTTTTAAAGGAGATCTGAGGCTATGGCTCCAGTTTCTATCCCATCTTTAGAATTTTGAGAGAATTGTGGCACAGGCAAGTAGAAAATGCACTTAGCTGCATATTTAAAATTTTTTCACCAACTTGGTATAAAGCCCCAGGAGTTAAAGTCGGCATACTACAAAGATACCAGCATACTCATGTTTTTTTGTGTCATGATTCACAATAGCCAGGTTATGGAATCAGCCCACATTCCCATTAACAGATAAATGGATAAAGAAAATGTGGTGTACATACACATTGGAGAATTATTTGTCATAAAAAAGGACAAAGTCATATCATTTGCATTAAAATGGATGGAACTGGAGAACATCATGTTACGTGAAAGAAATAAGCCAGACTCAGAGTGACATGGATCACGTGCTTCCTCTCATATGTGGAATCTAGAAAACACCAAGATGACATGAAAGTAGAAGGGAGACCATTAGAGAAAAGGAGGGGAGTCAGGGGAGGGAATAAGTAGGGTCATGGTGGAGGTGCGGAAACAATCAAAATATGTGACGTGCGTGTTCGAATAGCCACAGTGAAATCCATTACTCGGTATAATTAATATGAACTAATAAAAAATAAAACAGTAATAAAGCTTTCCCACCAATGCTGGTTTAAAAATTAGTCAATTTATCTCTGCCTTGATAATATGGCTGAGCACCCTGGCTAATGTGCTGTTAATCAGCGCTAGCAGAACACAAGGGAGCAGAATCCTCTCTTGGGGTAAAACACAACTAATTTATAAGGACAGAGTCCAAATTGCCCAGTAGCAATAATATAGTATGAACAGCAGGGACACTGGCAAACTTCCAGCACCTTTTGTTTTATATCTTAGAGGACTGCCCCTGATTGACAAGGCAACTGGCACCCAGAAAGGAAATACCTTTGTGGGAAGCTTTTATACCAGTCTGTGTGCTAGCACATGATCCATCTCCTTTAACCTGAAAGCACGCAGTCACTGAAATGTATTTCATCTGCTTATTTTATATACAAGGAACCAAGGAAGACTGAACTCCTTTGATGGTCAGACTCTTCCAGCCCCTACAATCTTAACTTTGGGAAATCAGAGTTCTCACAACAGTTCTGAGTTACTTAAATGTGGAGAATGCTGAAACAAACCTAACTTGTATTTTTTTCCCCCCAGCCCTTTTTATATTTTATTTAGAGACAAGATCTTGCTGAGTTGCTTAGGGCCTCACTAATTTGCTGAGGCTAGCCTTGAACTTGCTATCCTCCTGCCTCAGCCTCCCGGAGTCAATGGATTACAGGTATACGCCACCACGCCCGGCTCTAACTAGTATTTCTATTATCTTTCCTTTTTATAAGATAAAGGAGCAAATTTTTTTTTTGGTGGGGGGTGGGTACCACAGCTTGAAATCAGAGGCACTTGACCACCGAGCCACATCCCCAGCCCTATTTTGTATTTTATTTAGAGACAGGGTGTCACTGAGTTGCTTAGTGCCTCACCATTGCTGAGGCTGGCTTTGAACTTGCAATTCAAGGAGCAAATTTTTGTTGAGGCCATTCCAGGAAATCCAAAGAGAGCTTAGGCATAAAAGACATCCTTAACAGTTTTATTATTTCATATTTAGGCTCTGATAAGGGAAAGACAAAGTCAAGAATTGTCAGGAGACAGAGAACATTAACATAGCTGTCATTTTAGAAAACCTAATATACAGTTAGTTATAAATATTTTTAAACTACAGTAATGATTAACTGTGTTTTAGGAACTTACTTAAAAAATGAGAAACTTTTGTCAAAATTATTCAAGAGTTTTCTAGAAGTATAAAGAAGTAAAAAGAGTATTTGGGGTTCTTAACAAAATATGTACCATGACAATGAAAACAGGTCATAACAGGAACCTGTTATCCAGGTAGAGAATTACTTAGCTATTTTTTCAAAAAAGAAAATCCAAACCTAGTTTTACATTTTTTTTTTGTATATCATCTATATAATACTTTGCAGCAAAATTTATATGCCTTTTTTTTGGGGGGGGGGTGTACCAGGATTGAACTCAGGGTCACTCTACCACTGAGCCCTATCCCCAGCCCTTTTTATATTTTATTTAGAGACAGGGTCTCACTGAGTTGCTTAGGGCCTTGCTTTTGCTGAGGCTGGCTTTGAACTCACTATCCTCCTGCCTCAGTCTCCTGAGCTGCTGAGATTATTGGCATGCACCACCGTGCCTGGCCTGGCTTTTATATGCCTTTTAAAATAAATCTACGAATACTGAATATACCCTTAAATTTTTTTTTAACCATTACTACTACCTTTAAAAAATATTCTTAACATACTTTTTTTTTTTTTTTGGTAGTACTGAGAACTGAATCCAGGGGCACTTAACCACTGAGCCACATCTTTAGACCTTTTTTAAAACTGAGACAGAGTCTTGTTAAATTGCTTAGGGCCTTGCTAAATTATAGAGTTTGGCTTTGAACTCGAATCTTCCTGTGTCAGCCTCCTGAGCTGCTGGGATTATAGGCATGTGCCACTGTGCCCAGCAATATACTTTTATATATAGCTAAAATTCACATAATATAAAATTAAAGTGTACAATTCAGCAACATTTGGTGCATTCACAGTGTTGTGCTACCTTTACATCTACTCAGTTCCAAAACATTTTCATCACCTCAAAAGAAAGCCTATACCCATTAAGCAGTCACTCCCCTGCTGTGCCATCTCCCTGGTAATCCCTAATCTGCTTTTTGTCTCTAAGGATTTACCTATTCTGGGTAGTTCATGCAAATGGCCTCATGCAATCAATATAGGACCTATTATTATGCATGGCTTCTTTCAGTCAAGCATGTTTTCAAGGTTCATCCTTGAACCTTTTATGTATCAATATTTCTTTTCTTTTTTAATGGTTGAATAATATTCCATTACACAGATCTACCACCTTTGATTATCTATTCATGGATTGGTGGACATCTGGGTTGTTCCCACCTTATCGGTACTGTGAAGAGTGCTGCAATGATTTGTATGTAAGTATGTGTTTGTATGGCTGTTTTTAATTCTTTTGAAAAAAGATACATACACACACATACACCTGTTCAGATTCATGAGTAGAATTGCTGGGTCATATGCATTCTTCTGTTTATTGTAGCACTATTTATGACAGCCGAAAAATGGAATCAATCTAAGCACTCACTAACTGGTGAACATATAAAAAAAATGTGGTATATATGCACAATAGAATACTATTCAGGTATAAAAACGATGAAATTCTATCGTGACAACATGAATAGAACTGGAAGTTACTAAGCCAGGCACAGAAGGACAAGCGCAAGTGGAATCTAAACAAATTGATCTCACAGAAGTTCAGAGTTGAATAGTGGTAAACAGAGGCTGAGGAGAGTAGGGAGAGGGGCGATAGGGAAAAGCTAATCAAGAGATACTAACTTACAGTCAGGAGAAATAAGTTTTGGTGTTTTATTGTACAGTCATTACCTATTAATGACATTGCATTGTATATTTCCAAAAAGTCACAAGAAAGAATATGGAATGTTTTTACCAAAAGATAAATGTTTGATTTGAACGTTATACAATGTGTACACGTATTGAAACATCACATGGTAACCATAAATATGTATGATTCTATGAGTTAAAAAATTTATTGGCCATAGATATATGGGGTTACTTCTGGACTTTAAATTTTATTTCATTGATTTATATGGGTTGTTTCCTTGTTTAGTGACTTTTTGTTTATTTATTTATTTTAGTTTTTGGCGGACACAACATCTTTGTTTTTTTTTTTTGTATGTGGTGCTGAGGATCGAACCCAGGCCACACACATGCCAGGCGAGCACGCTACCGCTTGAGCTACATCCCCAGCCCTTGTTTAGTGACTTTTCAAAACCATTTTGGTGAAATCTGTATTCTTTGTCATGTGGCACTGAAGTCTCTGTTGTGTTAGCTTACGGTTAAGTCTTTTTTGGGGAGGGGCACCAGGGATCGAACTCAGGGGCACTGGACCACTGAGCCACTTCCCCAGCCCCATTTTGTATTCTTTTTAGAGACAGGGTCTCACTGAGTTGCTTAGTGCCTTGCTAAGTTGCTGAGGCTGGCTTTGAACTTGAGATCCTCCTGCCTCAGCCTCTTGAGCAGCTGGGATTACAGGCTTATGGTTAAGCCTTTGACAGTGTTTCCTGAAATGCTTAAGTGTCAAAAACAGGAGGAGGAGGAGGGAGAAGAATACACAAACACTCTCCCAGGCCTTGCAGACAGGCTCCGTGTTGGGGTCCTCCGTTAACATTTGGCCAGGCCATTTATAATTTTGGTCTTTCTCTTCACCTCTTGATGGCTGGGAGCCTGATGACCAGCTAGAGGTGAATGTTTAGGATGTTTTCAGAACATGCAGCAAGCTCTGGGCATGAATGTGGCTTTTTTTTTTTTCTTTTCAGTATTGGGGATCAAACCTAAGGGCAGTGTACCACCGAGCTATAACACCAGACTTTATATTCTTTGAGACAGGATATTCTAAGCTGCCGAGGCTGGCCTCCCAACTTGTGATCCTCCTGCCTCAGTCTCCCGTGTCACTGGAATTACAGGCCTACGCTACCACACCTGTGGCTTTCTTGATATAGAAAGCTATACCTCCTACCAGGTACAGTTGGGAACTTTAAAAGTTCTTATTCCCCTATATATCCCCTTTCCCAATCTTTTCCTACCTAGGTCTTTTGGTCTATTTTTTTTGTTTTGATTGTTGTTCCCTATCCCAGATTGCTACAGTCAATATTTGTGCCTTTAAATGCTCTTTCAAAAGCTGTTCAGGAAGCTACCGTGGGCCTGGGAACACTGTGTTGAGTGAAACACGGGTAGGCCTTGTGCTGTCCTTTGAGGAACCAATGGACAAGTATAAGCCCATCACCACAGATGGGTTGAGAGGATGGCTCATGTTGTCCCTTCTGAAATTAGCACCCTGCAACAGGAGTGTGGACTGTTGTCCCCATGGCTGCCACCGGCATGGGAGATTTCGGGCAGGTGCTGTCTTACCTCAATGCTTTGGTCTTCACCTGGTTGGTTTGAGTAGATTCTGAAGTTCTGCAAAAGTTCACCGTGACAGTTGCTTTTGTAGAGGGAGAACCCTACTCTGCAATTTTTGGTGACACCACTTCTTAATATTCTATTTTACTTTTATGTGGTGCTGAGGATCAAACCCAGGGCCTCACACATGCAAGGTGAGCGCTCTACCACTGAGCCACGACCCCAGCCCAACTTCTTAATATTCTTTTATTTTAATGTGCTTGGACAGAAATACTTAGCTATGTAAAGAAATAATAAAAGGCTTTAACTTTAATTTAAAAATATAATCAGTCTTAGCATATTAAACAAAACAATGTTGATGTTACATTGAAACACGCATTTTAACAAATAGTATCCTTAGGTAACAAATCATATCTGTTTTCTTCCAGACATATTTATATTTTATGTAATTACAATATCATATATAGTCTTGATTATTTTTATCTCTTTTAATCTAAATAATTAACTTCTGTTTTCTCTAAACCAAGAGAAAACCAGGAACCATCTAGCTGATTTTCTCTGAGCACAATTTTCAGATTATCTATATAAATTTTAAGGTGGCAAAATGAGCATATGACATCATCCAAAGCACTGGAACATTTTAATGTATACCAGTAAATGTGTACCATTTTATAATACATGCAAATAAGGGTAAATTGAAGCTATGTTTAGTGACCAAAAGCTTTATATATTCTTTTACTTAGAAACTATCCAAATATCCAAAGATTGTCAATGAATTCAGCCTAATATTTAAAATCTTAGCAAAGGTTAACTAAAGATCTGGAAATTACAGTTTTAGCTAACACATTAAACCCTTATGATCTGTAAACTTACAAGAAATTTATAAGCGCCAATCCTTTGAAATGACATCTGTAACTAAAATTTCATTTAGTAAAAAACCATTTTATGTTTGTGATCTTCAATATTCAGTGGAAACAATGATAACTTATTTGATCCACAAATCTAATATAGGATATTTAGGAAGTTTAAATCTTGAGAAGTCTGACTTTAGTTATATCTCAACTAGAACACGGGCTTGCATTAATTTTATAGATTAAAATCAGAAGACATTCTTCTTATCTTGTAAGGATAGTAACAAAGGCTATTACTTAAGCTTATCTGTATTAAAACTGAAACAGTTATTAAATTTTTTCTTTCTCATAAACATCTGAGACTATCTGTAGTAGACAGTGCTAGAATATGCACATGATGGAATACTTTTTCTGATCAATTATTAAAATTTCCCACCGCTTAGGGAAGGTCAGATGGAGGGAGGAGGAGCGGGAGACTGGCACTCCATGTCTGCAATCTCACCGTAACTATTTCCAGTTATTTCTGATTTTTTTTTCCTGCTGCTCCTGGTGCCTAGAAAGCCTGACTGACTTCATCCTAAGGTGGCAATTAGGCAACATAGGAAGATGACTGCAGTTTTTTGCTTCTGCTACCACTTGGTTTCAGTTTCTGGGTGTGGAAGGCTGCTGACCACAGGAGAATTATTAGGTGGTGAAATTCATGAGCCCTAGTATACACCTACAATGTCCTGCTTGGGCAGTATTAAGAGGACATCCTGAGCAGTGGTGCACGCCAGTTATCCCAGTGGCTGGGGAGGCTGAGGCAGGAGGATCATAAATTCAAAGCCAGCCTCAACAACTTAGCGAGGCCCTAAGCAACTCAGTGAGACCCTGTCTCTAAATAAAATACAAAATAGGGCTGGGGATGTGGCTCAGTGGTTGAGTGCCCCTGAGTTCAATCCCCAGTACCATAAAAAAAAAAAAAAAAAAAAAAGGAAAGAAAAGGAAACCCTGCCTCCTGGGTTGTTCAAGTTCTAACACAGTGCTCAGTTAGTCATCACCCATGTGGGTGCAGGTGGCAGAGGCCCTTGTGAAGGGAGGAGAAATAGTGGCCAGTGACGTAAAACAAATGGACTATGTGGCTATGGAAAGAACAAGAACCTGGGCATCTGAGGAAGGAAGGACTACTTTAGTCCCTAAGAGGTGTGGGAGTTGGAGAAGGGGAGTATTTAATGCTTTCTTTTCCCCCTAGATCCAGCCCTGCAGCAGCATAAGACACCCTGTCCCTTGAGTCAGGCAGCAGCTGCAGTTGGTAAGAAGACCCTGCTGCATCCCCATCCTCATTCTGAATACCCTCACACCAGCAGGACTATTCAGCCACTCCTGACACCCTCACAACGCAGAACTGTCTGCCATGCATCACACCCTGCTCCTTCCCAGTGTGTACCAAAACAGCCTTGTTTCGCTCAGATGCGAATGAAGATATGCAGCCCTTGGCCTTGGCTCCTTAGCTGTGGTGCAACTCCTGTGCATGTGGTCTCCATGGGGGTCTGCTGCATCTCTCCACAAGACATGGTGACATGGGAACCAGAGCCACCTCACTGATGCCCCTCCCATCTTGTTGTTTACTTTCAGCATCTATCCATGGCAGTTTTACTCCTTGTCAGACTGAGGGGGGTCGCTTCCCTAACAAAGATGGAACAAGGTAAGATGAGATTTTCATTTTTTCAGAGAGAATATAATTGTGCCCTAAATGGGCTCCTTTTCTCTCTCTCTCTCTCTCTCTCTTTTTTTTTTTTTTGGTACCAGGGATTGAACCTGGGGGTTTAACCACTGAGCTACATCCCCAGCCCTTTTTAAAATATTTTATTTAGAGACAGGGTCTCACTGAGTTGCTTAGAGCCTTGCTAAGTTGCTGAGGCTGGCTTTGAACTTTTTTTTTTTTTTTTTTTTAAATATTTATTTATTTATTTTTAGTTTTCGGCGGACACAACATCTTTGTTTGTATGTGGTGCTGAGGATCGAACCCGGGCCGCACGCATGCCAGGCGAGCGCGCTACCGCTTGAGCCACATCCCAGCCCCTGGCTTTGAACTTTTGACCCTCCTGCCTCAGCCTCCTGAGCCGCTTACAGGTTTTACAGGGGGAAGTCCACTTACAGGGATTACAGGTGTGTGCCCCTAAGCCTGGCTCCTTCTCCTTTCTAACAGTGCCCCTCCTTTTCTTCTTCCTTTATTCCCCCATTAGGAATCACTTATTTATAAGATGTTGCATTTTAGCAGTTAGAAAACAGATTATAAATTTGGGTACGTTTTTTAAGAGTTCGTTGGAAACATTCTTTTCCATGCCTAAAACCCAAAGTGTTAAACTATCTGATATCTTTATCTCTTTCATAGCAGTTATAATTGAAGTTTCCTTATAGTCTTCTTTTTTATGTTAGCTTTAAACACTAGAAATTACAAAAATGTTTTAAAATCTGAAACACTGAGTAGATATGTATGAAATGTTGTTCATTAGGAAAGAAAAAAGATCTAAGCTTTTAATTGACTACCCATGCCCAGTCTTGTTTTCAAAAGACTTTACTGTGTATGTCCTCAAATATATAGAAGAGAAAGAATATGAGCCTTCATGTTTTTTTAAAATATTTCTCTTTTTTTTTTTAAACCTTTATTTTATTTATTTATTTTTATGTGGTGCTGAGGATCGAACCCAGGGCCTCGCACGTGCTAGGCAAGTGCTCTACTGCTCAGCCCCGACCCCAGCCCCTGAGTTGCCATGTATTTATCATCAACTTGAACAACCGTCAACGCAATAGAAACAGAACAAGATCAACATTTTTCCAATCTTTTTTAATCTACTTCCCCCAACATTTTTTCTCAAGTATTTTAAAAGAAACTCCTGGCATTTCATTCCATATAAATATATTAAATATATTAGTCTTATTCTACAAAAGTAATGCAATATAAAAAGAACAATAGAACATCAGCGAAGGAATATACTTGTCCCATTCATTCATCAAAGGCAATAGATGGGTACTAAGCTAAGTGCTGGCTATACTAGAAAGATAATCATGTGAGTACAGAAGATAAAGCCAGGCATGGTGGAGCACACCTATAATCTGGGCAGCTTGGGAGGCTGAGGCAGGAGGATCACGAGTTCAAAGCTAGACTCCACAAAATCAAAATGCTGACCAACTCAGTGAGACCCTGTCTTCAAATAAAATACAAAATAGGGCTGGGGATGTGGCTCAGTGGTTAAGTGCCCCTGAGTTCAATCCCTGGTATGCCCCCCCCAAAAAAAAATCTAAAAATTCATGGATTATTAGGTGAATAAATAGAATGATAATGATAATTTATAAGTCACTTACTGTTTTAAGCCTTTGCAAATGTTAATTCTTTTATTCTTCATGATCATCTTCTGAGGTATATGACTATTATAGATGAGGAAACTGAGACCCAGAGGAGTGAAATAACTTGATGGAAAGAGTTCAGATAGTATGTGGTAGAGCCTGGATTTGAATCTAAGCAGTTTGATTTCAGAGGCTGTGCCTTGAGGGATAAAAACAGGGAATCATTTTAATATTGTGGTAAAAACAATGCTATATGTTCATCAAACCATTTCTTTGCCTTTGTAAGTACACAGACTATTTCCCATCTCCCTAGCCTCCGAGTGGGGCCATGTGACTAACTGGTTAACGGAATGTGGGTGGAGAAGTGGAGACAGGCAGACAGACAGACACACACACACACACACACACACACAAATGCATATACATATTTATTTATTCTGATGGTCATAGAATGATGGCTGCCCAGTATGGTTAAGTTTCTACCTGGAGGAAAGCCTCCTATTAGGCCCATCTTTATTGAACTTTGTGAGCTCAAAACTGTGTTAAGTTATTGAGATTCTGGAGTTTGTTATGACAGCTAGTGTAAATTATACTAATACAAACATTAATTTAAATGTTCTAAAATGATCAAATATTTAAAAAATATTGAAACATACAGAATACATTAAACAATCATATCTGTATCCCCAGATCTAACAGATAGCAAAAAGGTCATATTTTCTTCATGTTTTTCTTGAAGAAATCCATTGCAGCATATGTTAAGAGAAATAAGCCAGACTCAGAAAGTCAAGAGTTGTATGTTTTCTCATATGTGGAAGCTACAGAGGAAAAAAGAAATAAAGGGAGGGACTCAGGAAATTAGAAGGGAGACTAGTACAGTAGAGCAAGGGGAGACAGGGAAGAAAAGGGGAGGGCTGGGAAATCAAAGTGACCCATCATGCTATATACCTGGATGAATATCTCACAATGACTCCCACTATTATGTATCACTATAAAATTAATAAAAAATAATTTAAAATTCCATTAGCTGACTAGTAACTGCTAACTAATAAAGCACCACCTCATCCCTTACCCCTTCCTAGAAGTAACTACAATCTTGAAGGTGGTGTATATTATCCTCATCTAGATTTATACTTCAATATATTATAGATAGTGTTTTATGTGCTGTGAAAGTATAGAGTGGTATCAAAAGAGATTGCATGTTTCATTCAGAATTTGTTTTATTTTGGGACTGGGGATTGAACCCAAGGGTGCTTAACCACTGAGCCACATCACCAGCCCTTTTTATTTTGAGACAGGATCTCATTAAATTGCTTAGGGCCTCGCTGAGGCTGGCTTTGAACTTGTTATCCTCCTGTAAGCCCAAAACGCTGGGTTTGCAGCTAGCCAGTACTGGTTTTTAGATGTATTCACATTGGTGCAAGTAGCTCTAATTCATTTGAACACTGTACAAATATACTAATTTAATCATTCATTCTTTTTTTTAAAATTTTTTTTAGTTATGGATGGACACAATATCTTTATTTTTATTTATTTATTTGTATGTGGTGCCGAGGATCAAACCCAGGGCCTCATGCATGCAAGGTAAGTGCTCTACCACTAAGCTACACCCCCAGCCCTCATCTGTTCTCTTACTGAGGCAGTTAAGATTATTCATAACTGTTTGTTTCTACCAAGAGGGCTGCGATGGACTTTCTTGGCATATGACAATATAATATCTGAGGGTTTTTTTTTTTTTTTTTTTTTTCATTTAAGCTGATACTTGATGAATGAGAAGTCATCCATGTGAAGAGCCAGGAAACAAGCTGTTTAAGCATCTGGATCAGAAGACAGGCCCTAAGGTGAGAGGGAATGGCAATGACCAGACAGACTCAGTGAGATCCTAGTGTAGTGAGTGAGAGAAACAGGGGCAGGAGACGGGGGAGAAAGGAGAAGCAGAAAAGGGCTGCTCTGCTAATAGCTTTAGAGGTCACAGTAAGAAGTTTGATTTTTTTTCTAAATGCAAAGCTATTAAAGTGTTCTTGTTTTTTTTTTTTTTTTTATGTTTGTCAGACCATGTCCCAACATTGTAAATTCCTTCCCTCAATTCACAATGAATATAGATAGCATCTAGCATCTGTTATATGAATGCATTTACTGCTTTTGCTCTCTGTTTTGGAGAAACTGCAACATATTCTAAAAAGAAAAAAAAAATACTTTTCAATTCCTTCCCTACCCTTTTGTGTCTGAGCAGCAGCATTTATATATTTCAAAATGAAACCATATGTATCCCAATTTCATTTTTCCATCAAAAAGACTTAAAAGAAATGCCTTTTCTCCCCCAGTCCATGTTGTGTAATCAATTTGTTTTCTTTTGTTAAAATCCAATAGATTTCATCAAAGATCTAAAGCACGTAGATCGATTCGGGAGCTGAGAAAATATACTGCTAGTCCTGAAACTGAGATGTGACAGAATCACAGGACGCCCAAACAAAGGAACTGAAAAATGTGAATGAAAAAAGTAAGTAACTCTCTTACAGTGCCAAACAGTAGTATAGACTTTCAAGTGACAAATTAGAAATTATTTCCAAATGCGGGTCATGCCTTTAGTAACTTAGCTCAACATGCTAACATTTCCTCTCCTTCCCCATTCATTTCGTTTACTAGCCCTCTGTATATCTGCCAAGTGGTTACGTTGGAGTATCTAGGAGACAGAGGTATCATTCCCCTTGGGAGCTTTCATTTACTTTAACTACCTGATCTTCAATATTAAAGCAGAGTAAGGTTCACAAGTCCTATTACTGTATTTTCAACCTATTTTCCTTTAAGCCATCCTTTTTTTTTTTTTTTTTGGTACCAGGGCTTGAACTTAGGGGCACTTAACCACTGAGCCCCATCCCCAGCCCTATTTTGTATTTTATTTAGAGACAGGGTCTCACTGAGTTGCTTAGCACTTCACCCTTGCTGAGGCTGGCTTTGAACTCATGCTCCTCCTGCCTCAGCCTCTGGAGCCACTGGGATTACAGGCGTGTGCCACTGCCCTTGGCTTAGGTCATCTTTTTTGACAATGAGTACTTACTAATTTTTAAAGATACCTATTCAAAAACAGAAATCTCAATAATCTATAATTGATGTGGATGAAATTTTCTTTTTTCTAAAACAACTTCCCCATCCACTGATTTTTTTCCCCCTTTACTTACAAGTTGGTCATACTCTTTCTAGGTAGAAACACACTGCTAAATAGAATGACTACCAAAATGCAAGATGTAGATTTGTGTTTATACAATAAGGCAGAGTTAAAACCCTATCACACAGAATCAGAGTTTCAGTGTTAGGAAAGACTTTTAGGATCACCTTGCACAATTACCTATTTTTGGTGTATATGTGACAACCCCCCACCTGATTCCCATATTGGGGATTGAACCTAGGGGTGCTCTGCCATTGAGCTATACCCCTAACACTTTTTATTTTTTGAAACAGGGTCTCATTAAGTTGCTGAGGCTGGCTTGAACTTACTGATCTTCCTGCCTCCGCCTCCCAAATTGCTGGGATTATAGGTATGTGCTACCCTGCTTGGGAGACAACCAGATTTCTTAAGTGAAGTCAAAATCCTTTTTCAGAAGGGAGGGAGAGAGAAGGACGGAGAGGGAGTGAGACAGACACAGACAGAGATACTGATACAATGAAACAAGTCAAAACTGCACAAGAGATGGTCCAGTTCTACTTAACATAAAATTTTTGTTTATTCCCCATGCAAATTAAAACCACAATGAGGGCTGGAGTGGTGGCTCAGTGATAGAGTGTACGCCTAACATGCACGAGACACTGGGTTCGAACCTTGGCACCACATAAAAACAAACTAATGTATCCACCTAAAATTAAAGATACATAAATAAATAAATGTTTAAAAAAAAACCACAATGAGATACCTTAATCTGTTAGAAGGGCTAGTAAACAAAAACAAAAACAAACAAACAAACAAAAAAAACAAAGAAAAATGCTGATGAGGATATAGAGAATAGGGAGCTCTTCTAAACCCTTGGTGGTAATGCAAATTAGTATGGCTATTTTGGAAAACAATAGGGAGATTCCTCAAAAAACTAAGAAAATTGCCATATGATCTCGAAACCCCACTTCTGAATATATATCCAAAGGAACTGAAATCCCTATGCGAAAGAGATGTGTGTTTGTTGCAGTGTTACAGTAGCTAAGATTTAGAAACAACCTAAGTGCCTGTTACTAAATTAATGGGACTTTTAAAAGGTTGTATACTGTAACAATACAATCATCTTTAAAAAGAATGAAATGCTGTCACTTGCAACATAGATGATTCTAGAGGATACCACCTTAAGTGAAATAAGCCAGGCACAGAAAGACAAATGTCTCATGATTTTACTTGTATGTGGTATCTAAAAAAGTCCAAGTCAAGTAGAAAGAAGAATAGTGGTTACCAGAGACTGAGGGCAGGGGAAAGTGGGCAGGGAAAGGAGTATTGTTGTACAAAGGGTACAAGTTTCAGTTAGACTTAGGAGGGGAAGAATAAGTTCTGGTGATCTCCACAGCAAGTTGACTATAGTTAATAACAATGTATAGGGCTGGGGTTGTAGCTCAGGTGGTAGAGTGCTTGCCTTCCATGCACAAGCCCTAGATTTAATCCCCAGCACCACACAAAAAAAGAACAAACAACAACAATGTATGGCTCAGAATTGTTAGAGTGACTTTAAAATGTTGTCACTACAAAAAAAAAAAAAAAAAAAAAAGTGAGGTGATGGTATGTTAATTAGTCTGACTTCCTTATTCCACAGTGTATACATACACTGAAACATCACTTTGTATCCTACCAATATATACAGTTATTCATCCATTAAACATGAAAATAAAATTTCAAAAAAACTTTGCTCCCTAGGGGAAGCTTGCCTAGGGATTAATGATAGTCTCTGCCCTGCAGTCACAGCACTTGTAGGGGCTATAGATAATCCTAAAACATTTTAAGTACCATAGTGATACATGTAAATGTGCTTTAGGCCCACAAAGGAAGGAGAAGTGATTACACTGGAGGTTAAACCTTCAAAAGACAAGTGAAAGGCTTTCAAGAGTAAAGAATTAGCCGGCACAATACCGCGGTTCTGGTCCTGTAGTCTCAGTCACTCAGGAGCCTAAGGTGGTAGGATTGCTTGTGCCTTGGAGTTCTAGGCCAGTCTGGGCAATGTAGGGAGGCCCCATCTCAGTAAAAAAAAAAAAAAAAAAAAAAAAAAGAAAGAAAGAAAATAAACTATTAGGTATATCTATAATGCACTAATAAAAGGAAAAGAAACAATAAAATGAGAGTATCTTAACTGTAGGAAAAACAGCACCAGCTTTGCTTACACCTTAGGAGTTGCAAAAAGATGTCAGTAAAGGATCAAAACAACTGACACTTTTAACAGTTAATGTCTATGTGACTACACATTAGAATCCTTTGGGAAATCAATCCCTGAGTCCAGACCAATTACATGTAATCTATGGGGGTGGAACCCAGAAAAACTGCTTTTTTCTTTTTTTTTTTTTTCCCTTTGAGAATCATCATTTTAAAGCAGGGGCGAAATAGTAAACGTGGATTTTGACGCGGAAAACTCCCGGTTAGGAATAGATTCAGTGAAAGCCCTTGGTAGGCAGGGTAGCTATTTCAAGAGCAGGGACAGAAGCGGGAGCCCGCCGCAGAGGATTTAAGGGCTGTTTCTGTGCTGCACTAGGGATCTGCGTGGCGGTAACCGGCTCAGCACCCGCCCCACTCTATTAAAAGTAGGTGATTTCGCGGGGTGACTCTGTCCCTACCCCGAATCATGTCTGCTAGCACATTTTCCCACAGTTTAAAAAAAAAGAAAAAGGACAATACGTCTCTCTCCCACGCAACACGCCTAGGACGTCTGTAGGAGGAGCAAAGGCCTGAAAAAAAAAAAATCACTCGCGCGCTGCCACTCCGTTTTCTTTGCGATTCCAAAGCCACAACTCACGAGCTTCCAGGGTCGACCTCCACGGTCGTGTTAGGAGCCCGCTTAGGGAGTGATGAGCGACCCCTTAGGGCAAACTGCTGTCTTTAAGACCCTGGGTGGGGAGCGGGGGGCGAGGGTAAGGGCTGGGTACTGACGTTCGCGGTGACGCGGCCCGCTCGGCTCTCACTCCGGCTTCCGGCTGTACGCGGTCCCTTTTCCGCTCCCCCCCCCCCACGCGCCTGCCCCGCCCCACTCCCACGCACCCCCCTACCCCCCACCCCCCACCCCCCACCGCCACCAAGCGCTACTGCGCAGGACAGCGGGGAGAACAGTCACAGGTTGTTATCGGAAGGCCCCCTGCAGGTTCCCCTTCCGCTCTGTCTAAAGACTTCCGCTTTGGGCCGTCAACATGGACGCTACTGCTGCCGGGTGCAGCGGCCTCTGAGCCATCGCGGAGGTCCAGCTTTTCTGCGGCGGCGGTCCCCCTTCCCCGCCCTCTCTGCCTCCCCCCGCCCCTCGCTCCCGTCTCTGGAGCCGGCGGGCTCGTCGCTTCATGGGGGCGGGCTTCTGTGGCCGGCGCAAGGCTTCCTGTTCTGAGGCTGCCCGGCTGTAAGCGGCGGCGACTCTGCCCGCGCCTGCCTCGGCGCGGTGACCGAGCGCCCGGGAGGTCCACGGGCCGCATCTTGGCCGCTGCACTAAGCCCGACCCTGCGTCGCTATGGCCCCAGTGCAGCTGGAAAACCACCAGCTGGTCCCGCCGGGAGGCGGCGGCGGGGGCAGTGGCGGCCCGGCGTCAGCCCCAGCTCCTCCTCCTCCAGGAGCCGCCGTGGCGGCGGCCGCTGCGGCTGCGGCTAGCCCCGGCTACCGATTGAGCACCCTCATCGAATTTCTGCTGCACCGGGCCTACTCGGAGCTCATGGTGCTGACCGACCTGTAAGTGCCGCCAAACCCACGCCTGCTCCCCAGCCCCCGCTTCCCGCCCAGCCGACTGAGGGTTGCGCCTCCCTTTTCCCCGAGAGGCTGCCGTTTTCTCCGCTGGGCTGGCTGCTTAGTCTAGAATTTTTGAACTCATGGGGTGCAGGGGAGGTGGAGAAGCTTTGTATTGGGGGGTCTTTCTCGATGGAGACTTGGCTCATTTAGCGTGTCGTTACACTGAAGCTGAAGATTGTCTTTGGGATTTTTGTCTGAGTTCCCAACAGAACTCTATTGATTTCTGGCTGAAAGCTTTTTAGCCCAAAGCCCAAGATCACAGTGTAGTATTTAGGAATACATAATATTCATACTTTAAAAAAAACTCCCAAAGACAGGAAATCTTTCATATCTGGATGATACATTTTAAATAGAGGTTGTAATTGCTTCTGTTTAAACGCAGGAGATATATTGTGTTTATATTGTGTTTAAGGTAATTCATCGTTCAGATGCAAGTTTGTGTGTGTGAGAAACATTTGAGAATGTTTGAGTCTTTATGAATTTAGTCAAAGTAAAAAAAAAAAAAATTTGTAACCAGCCTGCTGCTGTTATTTCACCTAGTTACCTATGAAAAGCCTTGGGGCTTGATTAGGGTGTTAATCCCTTCAGAATAGGATCAGAATACACTAATGATTCAGTGCTTGAAGAAAAAGCATTATAAAATTTGGGGGGTTCTTTTACATCTTTTACCCCAGGTTCAGAAAAGGTAAGTCAGAGAAAAAAAAAAAAAAGAAGAAAGATTAGTTTTGATCTAGATTAATTTTTTAATCTATTGTAAGACATCAGGGTTTTCAATTACATTAGTGTGGAGATTTTAGGTTGTACAGTGTCACAGTAATTTGTTACTGGAGACTTAAAATATTTGTTTGCATGTCACTAAAGAAATTAGAATGGGTTCCACTGACTCCTGTGAAACGTCATTCTCAGTTTTGATGTACTTCATTGAATGAGACGGGAAGAAATCTAAAGATAAAAGAAATCTACCCCTGTCTAATGAGAAATTTAAATAGCTGTCACGATTGGGAATTCTTGCAGTACTTTACTCCTCTGCACTGATTATTGTTGAATTTCATAAGAATTCAAGAGTGTCCATGAGACAATTGGATGTATGTGAAGGTCACCTGTCTTATGTATAGCTGTGAAGAAAATGGTAAGGACTGCTGCCATCAGTAATTGTGTAATTCGTTTTTCCATAGGAGATTTGGAGAGATTCCTTGAATTATATTGTTTTGTTTTTATTATTTTAAAACTTGGTTTATGAAGAAGAAACATCTGTTTTATTGCTGTAGAATAAGTATATAGGTATAGTATGTTGATGTGTGCCCCCCACACCCAGCCCAGCACAGACATCTCTGTTGAACTCCAGATTATATGTCCAGATACCTACATTTCAGTATCTAGTGGGCATTTCAACATATCAAGGCCAGATTCAAACTCCTGATTCTACTTGACATCTCCCCTCTATCTCAAAACCTTTTCTTTCTCAAAGAATACATTCTTTCTGTTGTTGCTCCTGCTAAAAATTTTAGAGTAATTCCTGGCTCCTCTTTTTTCACATCCCATCCCCAGGGTACATCAGCAAGTCTTCTCTCTCACTTTGAAATCCCACCACTTCCCAGTGCTGTTTCACCAAGTGTTGGTCCAAGCCACCCAGTCTTCAGCCTGTGCTCTGCGGTAGTCTGCTTGTTGGTGTCTTTCCTGCCCTTGCCCCTCTAGTTTCTTCTCCACAAAATAGCTGAGATGATCCTTTTAAAACTTACCTGATCAGAACCCTCCAGTGGTTTCTCATCTCACTTAGATTAAAAAAATTTTTATAATCACCCTCATAGAGAGTGCCCATAAAGTTTATGATCCAGCAGGACACTTTTGAGCCTAAAGGCAGGTGGCATTAATAGTGGTGTCAGAACAGCAAACAACCAGGATTATCTTGTGCAAACCAGGACATGTGGACATGTGGCCATTTCCTTTTATTTCTTTTCTTGAGTACTGGGGATCAACCCCCCTCCCCCCACCCGGGCGATTTACCACTGAGCTACATCTGCAGTCCATTTGCTTTTTTATTTTGAGACTTAAGTTGTTAGTCTCACTAAATTGCTGAGGCTAGCCTCTAACTCACAAGATCCTCCTGCCTCAGCCTCCTGAGTCACTGGGATTACAGATATACAACTCTGGATCCAGCCCCTCATTTTCCTTTTAAGGCCCTGCATGATCTGTGCCTTTTTTCTCTTACGCCTTTAATTCATGTCCTAATACTGTCATCATGGAGCCTTTGCTCTTCCCTGAGAAATCTGTGTGATTTGCCTTCTCATTTCCATTCGGTCTTAGTTCACATATAACTTATCAGAAAGACTGCCTTTCACTACCCATTAAAATAGTATTCTGCACCTTCATGCTGTTCTTTCTCTGTGCTGGGTGCTTTTAGTTTCCTCTACAGGACTTATTGTCTCCTGACATTATTATTACATGGTACTCTCTCCTCTGGTCACTGGAATGTAAGCTCCTTATGGAGAGAGATTTTGACTTGTTTTCTACATTCCCCAGGGCCTAGAATAATGCCTGCACATACTCGGGTCTTAACTAAGTATTTCTTGATTTAGTGCATGAATAACTGAATTTTTAGAATTGTCATTGCAAACCTTGGAGAATGTGATGGGAGGAGTCATTGTTGCTCTTGATACATAGGTATGTAAAATAACTTTCTTCATTTTTGATTTGTGTTAGAGAACTTACTGTGAAGGTGCCTAAATACTGTGTTTTCCCTTGTTCCAGGTAAAAACTCTTGGGATTAATGTATTATGTATAGCCAGTGTTCTAGTAGAAGGGTCTTTAGGGACACAGTTACTTATTTTGTAACACTTGATGCTAGACTGTGAACTATTGAAGGTAAACTGGACAGCCTTGGTTGGGCTTTGGCCCCACATTTCTGTTTGTTTTTTTTTTTCCTTCTGCTAATCCACCCCCACCCCCAACAGATATTTTCGCATCTTAGAGTTTACTCTCTGCTTTGACTTTTGTAGGGAATTAGATTTCTCTCTCTCTCTTTTAAAGACTTTTAGAATCAGAAAATGCTAGGATCTAAGTCATGTAAAATTGTCTGATTGCACTTTGGGGCAAATAAGTTCCTTTGCCTTACTTCTTCCAACATTTGCATTTTAAGGCTTTTTCCCCAAATGGTGGATTTCTTTTCATAAAGGAATTTTAAATAGATTAGAAGGCATTGGGGGGGAAGAGGAGGCAGGCAGCAAAGCCTGTCCATTGTCCTTGAAATGACAGCACCTCTGATGTGAGATGATCCTTTTAGGGTCTCTGGGGCAGGTGGGAGGAGCTGGAACAATGGTTCCTGTTCTTTCTACCCCCAGAGGATCTTCTCTTCCTCCCACCCCTACAGACAACCATCCTTCTCATTTTCTTTCTCTCTTGAGGACAAGGGCTGTGGCTTCTCAAGAACTGCTTGTCAGCAGCTTTTGCATGTAAAGGAATTTACCAGTGGTGCTTTAGTTTGCAGTCTCCTAATAGGGCCTTTATTTCTCCTTCATCCCTTGGTCTGCTGGCCTTTCAGCCCCTCCCTAGTTCCCTCTGTGGCTCTGATCATAGCTTCTGCTTCCATTCCACTGTTTTCCCTAAGAATAGTAGAACTGACAAGCCAGAGCTCATTTTAATCGTTCCCTTCCTTGCATCTTGAACCTTTGGAAATGGTTTTAGTTTTTCTGATCCTGTGGCACCTGGGTGGGAGAGAACCTTAGTGACTAGGTGTATATTCTTCAATATCTGACAGTTGTGGAATAGGTATAAGAATTATTCAGGCTGCTGAGTCTCAGACCATGGGAATAGAGGTTAACAGAATATGGCAATTCAGGAAGCTGAGGAGGACCTTTCTAAACATCAGTAGATGTGAATATTAAATGGTATAATTTGTCAGAGAAAAAGTTGACATTAGTGCTGGCTCTCAATACTGGAGAACTAGCAAAAGGAAATCAAAACTCTACTGGAGCTGTTTTAAAGTGGTTAGATCTTTTCATCTAACCACTATGCAATGTCATCATTAAACCCTTGACACTGACCCATTTACATGCTTAGCTTCCAGTTTTGCCCCCCATAACAAAACATGGAAGGATTATTGCTCAGAACCAGAGTGTAGGTATTGGGGGGCTGGCAACCAAGTAGTACTTTTACATCTGTGATTTTTTTGGTCTTCAAAAATATTTTTTCTGACTCTCTATGATATAGT